TCAGAATAATCAAAATAAGAAGTGTCAGAAAGCAGCAAATGAGTACATACTCTCATTAAGTAAATCTCCTAAGAGCTCAACGCACAAAACTCTTCCCAGAAAAGCTGTGCAAACAATTGCATGCACTAACATGTGGCTTTACTGGTGTTTCAGAGGCAGATAAAAATATTCTTCAATCTAATCCATGTTTTCAGATTTCACCGTAAATAATCTCGACCTAAGGCAAAACACACAATGGAGCTGCCACGGTGACATTAAAGGTCAGAACTGAAGGTGAAATACACTACTTTAAAGAAAACTTGAAAGTCATTAAACATGCAAACCATGTTAAAGACAATATCCATTTCTGCWGTGCCCTGGCAATGCCMAGCACTMAACTTCCCTCTCTTAGGTGACAAGACACCTCCTCCAACTACAAAATAGCAAAAAAGTCAGTACAAATCTTCTAGAAAAACTAATTTGTAGACAAAATCAGTAACCTGGAGGCCTTGAGGATTTTCCCCAGCAATTATTCAAATAAGTACTGTACAAACCCAACAAGAAACCAACTAAATTGTACTTCTACAATATTCCCAGCATTTTGAGGCAGCAAGCCTATGGCACAAAAAAAGGAAAGGGAAAGTATTGGAAGGAAAGAGCCATTTCCAAAGCCAGAATTATTATTGTTTTAGGCTACCCATGTGGTCTAGGAAGAAATAAGAACATTTGGGAAAGAAATTGTCTCTRATGAGTCTAATTCAGGAATGGTTTTTCCTTCTGTTTTTTTACTACATTTGTATGATAAAGCACTTACATCATTTTGGAAGGTGAATGGATTATTTTGCAATGAAAACAGAAGGAATTTCGGGGGTGGTATTTCAAGTGTTGGCCACATAAAACTCATTAAGCAGTTTAAAACCTACTAGAAATATTTGGCGTCCCTTTGAGTTTGTAAGTGGCTATTTAAACTCAGAGCTTACARGGAAGGTGGCGAGAGRCTGAGCATTATTACTGCACTCCAAWTTTCTATAAAAACTGTCTTTTGTGCCAGTAATGTGCCAGGCCTGGGCTAACAGGGCTGGGCTGTGCCTCCTGGGGGTCTCAGTGCTGATCTCAGCCCCACCAAAGGATTTTCCCCATGACCTTGAGCCTCTCCACGTCCCCATAACCTCTGTAAGGCAGAGCTCCCCCTCTGCAGCGATCTGTCTTGTCAGCTTAGCGGCAAACACTGATCTGTCTCGACTCCTCACGGCTCCTATCGATTGCCGGGGAAGTTGGATGTGCACAATCCTTCTTCAGATGTGGCATTTGGAGACAAAATAACTTTGAGGAACTGGACCATTAAAGGAAATATTTTGGCTGTGAATGTCCCATGCTGTTATGAGCGGTGGGTAATAAATTGGTTCTCGATTTTAGCGCGGTGCAGAGTGGTAAATAGCTCTTAAGGGGTTTAAACACTCATGTGTTTGGCAGGTTAATGGGAAATAGGCAAACCCCAAAGAGATGCAGCTGAAAGGCAGCCCTCTCACACCAAATGTATCTTTAAGCCTGTACAACTTTGGGGGGAAAAAAAAATCATTGTATTTCATCAGAGTATTAAAAGGCAAATGTATGAGCAAAAAATTATTTCCCCGAAAATTTCAAAGTTCTGAAATACAATATGACATACCAAGCTCAGGAGAGTCAAAAACTAAGGTGAAAGAGGTTTCCTGACCCCTAGACTTCAACAGTGCCCAATTTTGCTTTCCTCATGMATGAACTTCCCCTGCAGTGGCACAGCCCTTGTGTTTCAGGTAAAAAGGAGTGGAAAACAGAAGTTATCAGAGAACAGAACCCATTGTCCAATCCCTGCTTGGCTTTGACAGCACAAAATCAGATAAATTCAGATTTAAAACTTAGTTTAAAAAATACAAACTGGCTTAACTTGGGCCATTTAGCTGCTCTGGTGGATGGCATCCCTGCCCATGGCAGGAGAGTTGGAGCTAGGTGATCCCTGAAGTTCCTTCCAACCCAAACTGTWCTATGATTCCATGACAATTCCAGACAGTGAGGCTATTGGGGTACTTGATATTGAAAAAAAATTAATGAGAGGGAAATATAATATTAGCCTGTAAATGAYTTTTGTTAATTAAAGATAATGTTGGGAGAGAAACATACTGTAAAGGCTGTTCCTCTCCATTTCGGAATTGTCACTATTTCTTTGTCAAGGCCAGGAGCCTTGGCTTTTCTTCCATAGGAGAACATTCAGTGGGTTATTCTGTGTTTGTGAATGTCCGTTGTGCTCTCCAGAGCAAAGACACAGAGCCACATTAATCCCAGAGTTATTTCCAGAGGCACGGGAATGTCTGGCCAAACCCACTTGTGACCTGAGAGCCTGATCCCTGTGAGCTGTTTCCAGACACTGGGGATTCCCTGGGGGGATAACCCCCTCTGTTCTTGGGGACCCTGAGGATGGGAGAAGCCCTGGGGGTTGCTGGGGACCTGTGTGGAATGTCGAAGGTCTGACTGAGGGATGGGAGAGTTTGTTGTCATCTGTGACAAATGGGAAAAGTCCCGAATGGTTTGAATAGTTCCTTTTGAAAKGCTCATGGGCAAATGTGTTCTCAGCTCCAGCAGATTTTCGCTTCCAGCCTGGACAGTCCGTGGTATTSAGATTTCACAGCAGAAGCTCATAGTGAGCTCATGGGTTGTTTGTGGGTGGAACACAAAGCAAATTAAATACTCTTTTATTCCATTCCTCTGTGGAAAGCAAGACCGGGGCTCATAAAATTTCAAGATATTCTGAGTGATTTTTGCCATGCTAGTCTATTCCCGTTTACTTTCTTAAATCCAATTACACCACTTGGGTCACTGGAGAGCACACCATCTTCCCATGYTGRCTKCAGGCACCTCACCCTCCCCTGGCAYCAYCCTCTCTCTTCTCTTTCTTCACCTCTGGGTATGCTCAGATTTTTTTTTTTTTACATGTTTCAGAGTTGAGAGAAACCCACAGGAGTGAACTTGCAAACAATTAATTGTATCTGAGTTTACTACATGTGTAACACCTTGCACTGAAGCCCCAGTGGGTTTCATGAGCTTCAAGGGTGCTTTTGTAGGAAACTCATATCCAAATTAAAAACTTTCTCAGTACATTATGAAAAGGCTCCAGAGGGGATGGGGAGAAATTCCATCTTGTGATGCTACAAGCAACTATCTATTTTAAGGTGAATGTTTTTCTGTAAAAAAAACCATTGTCTTTTTCTTTTGATTGACTTATTTACAGAATCTCATCTGAGAAAAGTCTGACAAGCTGTGTGTTGTGTCAGCCCTCCCACATCTCTGATTCACTGAGTCGCTTTTGTCCTTGATGCTTTACTTAGCCTTGTACAAGGGAGCAGCTATGAGTGTTGTTAGTAACCCTTTTGTGTTCTCAGCCATGGGAAATGGTGCAAAAATCCCAAATATTGAGAATACCCTCAGCCACTGGGAGCTTCATTAGCTAAAATGAGACTGCAGAGGATGRTAAAGTTCTTCCTTGGTGTTTAAAGGACTTTTTCATCTTCTCTCTTTTAACAAGGCATCTGCAAAAAGCTCTTTGGTCAGATCTTCCTTATTCACCATTAAAATCYCATGGGATTAGTAGGTTTGTTAGAGTACAAAAGTAAACAGCATATGGCTCTGCTAATATCCTTATAATGTCACAACACAATCTGTCAGAATGCAAACTCTTTTGAGCAGTTTCATTTACTTCAAGTCCATACCATGGAAGAAAACCCACAACAAGCTTTACAAATCCTTCAGTATCACCTAACAGACTGCATGCTACTTAATTTTGTTTTGTGCTCCCAGTTTAATAAGTGTGCCTATATATATTACCTTCAGTAAGAAAAATACAGTGGCAAATACAGTTACTCAGTTACTGGGAGTTGAGAGGTCGTTTCCCCCGATGAAAACCTTGTTCTATCAGATAAGTCACTGCTACACTCCATAAAACTGGCAACCCTTCAGAAGGTTTCAGAAATTAAAGGCATTGTTTGAAGATAAAGGCGATAAGGTCATTTGCTTTGTGCTCAGTCCTGCAAAACTTTCTGGGTGACCCTTTGATATTCAAGTGAAGAGGGCTTTAAATTGTTTTATCTTCATGGAGCTAATGAGTGCTGGCTGACAGTCACTGTTAAGACCAGTTGGAACTCCACTGGAATTAAATTTTGTGGAATATTACAACATAATTCCTTTAAGGGGGAGTGCCTCTGCAGAGTTTACTGTAGCTGAATCACTCACAAGACTACGCTCTTGTCTGGCTGCTTTTCRCAGTTTCTTTTAACTCAGTTTTCACTGGCTGAATAATGTCTAACATGGTTCTCAATGTATTTCTGTGTTCAATTAATAAYGCTGTGTAAACAAGCCACATATGTAAAATCTATGTCCCCTTYGAACCCTCTGCTGGAGTGAAACAAGACTTACATTTAATGTGTACAGTAGCAGAGAAATCGCTCAAGAAATTTTTATTGCCAGAGGCTGTATAGCTGTGTATGATTATTCTATGTGTAATTAACTAATCTACAATGTTCCTCTGATATATGGTGTATATAATTCTTTCCTAGAGGAACAGAATATTATTTTAAAGCCTTTTTTTCTTTTATGGCTCGTTTCATGCATTCCATTTATGGGAAAATGCTGTGTATATTCTTTGAATCATTTGATTTTTTTTTTTCTTTTGCTAGTAGGAAGGAAGTACGATTTTTAACAAGTTTTAAATGCTTTTGTTTAAAAAAAAAAAGTGAAAAAGGAAAGGGAATGTAATGATCAATATATATCATGTGCTATGAGTGTGCTTGGCTGTCACTGTGAGCTTCTTCATTACTTTAGTTGTTTATTTTAACCTTACCTCCATCCTATTTTGGAGATTYTCTAATAATAGCCCTCTGTCACTCTAACCCACATTCACAAATAAGTGCAAACAAGATCATCTCAGTTTCAAACACATACAAACTCTCTCCCCCAAACAACCATCAGGAAATTAAAAAGCACAAAATCCTTACCCAGTGTGGCTGACTCAGCGCTGATGGCCAGCAAGGGGACCCAACAGAGGCAGGCAACAAGTTGGAGATGCTGATGGAAAGGAAAGAGCTGCTGCATAGTGTCCAGGACAGCTTTTATCCGTGCATCTGCTGTGCTTTCAAATTAACTTTTGATGTCCTAAACTTTGCAGGGAAAGCCATCAGCCTGCCCGCCTTCTTCAATTTTTTTTTTTTTTTACCCCTCCTTTCTTTCATTCTTTTCAATCCACTCTCTTGGAGAGGTTTTAATGTGTCATTAATACCAGAATTTCCAGGAGGGAAGCCCAGCAGCCACACACACACCCCACAGTCCCCCTCCCACACACACACTCAGAGCACACACGTCCCTGCAGCTGCTGCAGCTGCCCAGATTTGCACTCTGGGGTCACTCCCGTGCCCATGGAGAGCCAGGACAGGACTCAGGACAGCCTGTGCCTGCTGCTGGGAGCTGCTCCTGCAGGAATCAGGGCTATAAGCTACAAACATGCCTGCTCATCAGGGTTTTGGGGCAGGCAGTGGATCATTGCAGTCATATCTGGTGTTGTGTTCAGATTCGATGGCCCTGCGAAGTGAGAGGCTCTTTCTTGGTGTTGTGTCACCAGAGTGACACAACAGAGCACAGAAGCAAAGGATTCCATCACTCAGGTCGCACTATCATGTTTTTCTGTGGTTTGTGCTCTCAGAGTGCCCTGTTGCTGCCACAGGGTTCCAATTTTTGCTCGGTGTGAGCAGAGTTTATTGTATGACAGTGCATGTTAACGCCTTAATGCAGAATAGAAAGAATTTGCTGTTGAATMATATCTTATACTTTAATATTTGTAGTGTTTTATTTAGAAAACATTGCATCCCCACCCACTGTTTAGTGTTTTCTATACATGCCAGCACTCCTTTTCTTTGACTTGTCAAGTTTGATTATCTTGTCTGCTTGTTTAAGTGAGGATATTGTAAATTATCTGATAAGAGAATGTTATGCAAGACTGTAAACATTCCACACAAATCGATCTGAGGAGCATTTCATGCAAAAGCACACACAAAGCCATTAAAAATATTTGCCAGTGTAGCCAAAGRGTTTCAGAAGTTGCTCATTTGGGTTGACTACATCCCTCAAGGAGTTTTACCACTGGATCCCTTGAGGGAAAGATAGGTTACTTAAGAAGAAATATCTAACAATTGTTCTGAGTTCTGATTTTGGATTTTGATATCACAAAATCATTGCTTTTACTGGTCTCTTTGGATTTGCCATCATAGGCCTGATTTGTAGCTCTTTGCGAGTCTTTGGAAGTCTTTCCACTTTTTTCACTGATATTTAGATTATATTCYTTCAAGATCATTAAGAATCCAAGTRCAGTATTTCTGATTATTTTTTAATAAGAGATCTTGTTCCATTTCTTGAGCATAAAGATATTAGAAATGAAAAAAAAAGATTTCTTTCTTAAGAGTACACAATTTTCACTTTTATATGGCCTTCTCAGCTGATTTCTCAGCTCAGTTTGAATGTTTTTGTGGCAATTTTTATGCACTTGAAGGGGTCCAGTGTGGGCTTTGACTCTAAGTTTTGGCCTAAAAGSCACAGTTCTGAAATCTGTTGAGGGGTGAGATTTAGTCTTTCCAAAATATTGGTCATCAAAACCAATTTCCAAAAAAGAAAGAGAGTTTTCCACAATCAGWCCAGCCTTTTTCAGTTGCCTGTTTACAGCAAACAAAAAAGTAACCAGGCAAAAAAATAAAAAAGTAAGTGGAAGGTATTCAGGGCARCAGGAGAAGAAGGAATTTTTTGAGATTTGCTTGCCCCGTGCATGTTTCCTCCCTAAACAGGTTTGAACCAAGGGGAGCCTTTAAGRGTGGTAAAGATGAAATTGAAGCCTCCAAATGTCTCAAGGAAGAAGTTTGCCTAGTCTGGATATGGGTCCCCTCATTTTGGGAAGACAAGCAATGGCAGGCCAGACAATGAGGTATTTCCCTTTCTCCCACTCCAAGACAAGACCACACAGAATTCAGAAAAAAAGAATGACACTGACTTCCTCCTCCCCCTAAACATAATTTAAAAAAAAAAAAAATTGAAGCTAAAACCATGGAGAACCTGCATAAAATGATTGCAAAATATTCTCACAGTYTCCATAGATATTAACCTGAGTAAGAGAATCTGAAACTCCACAGAAAGTTGGTGCAGTTAAGTGTGGGAAGTGAATGCTTGAAAGAACTCTCTCCACTGTGAACAGCACAACATTGAATCCCTGACACCAGTCCTCCCAGTATTAAATTAATTTTCAGTGGTGTGGATGGGTAGAGAGAAATAAATCCAGCCAAAAGTCACAGCTGGAAGCTGGCAGCAGCATTTCAGGCTTGGCCAGAAATTGTCTGATGGAGATGCACGTTGGGTATTCAGATGTCTTCACTTTGTGAGAAAGAGTTTGTGAGTTCAGTTTGACTGAACATCTTCGTGTCTGTCAGAGCTGGGGGCTGGGGAGGGGCTGCAGGAGTGGGTCTGACCCTTCAGGAGAGGTTGGAGAACCCAGGGGGAGGAGGAAGAGTTTTAGGAACAACAATCTTTGCTTTTCGCTTCAGATGCAGAGCGAAGCGTCAGGGTGGAACGGAATGCTAATATTATGATAAAAATGCAAATGATGAAGGACTCCAAAGATGTGGCTTTTTGACATTTTGTTCCAAGTATGAAATACTCAAGCTCCAGAGCCAGTGCAGGGGTCTTGAGAGGTGTCTGCAGAAGGCCTGGGTTACGGTGGAATTTGGAGTAATGAATCCCATCACTCAGAGATCTTCTGGAGGTCAGGTWGAAGTATCCTTCTACTTGGGTGCCCCCAGGATGGAAAGGAGAGGGCTGGTTCATGTTCTGCTTCTCAAAAACTGTGTGGCCAGCAGCCTCCTTTTGCACTTGAGCCAGCAGGGAGCTGTACAATCCTTYATTTTCTTCTGCTTCCTGTGAGGAATCGCCTCACATAAGGCTGTCCCCTGGGGTGGCTTTCCAGGCAGAGATTTGTTATTCACAGGTGACACAGAGAGCATGACCCTGAAAACACTTCCCTAGCAGGAGGACAGTGTTCTTCAGAGGGAAAACATGTCTTCGCTATAAAGTTTTGGGTTTTTTTTTGTTTTTTTTTTTTTTTTTAATGTGACTAAGAATACCTGCCAAGTTTGGTGACAAGTAACAAACTCCTTGTGCTCCAAGGGCAATCCCCTGTGTCCTCTGACTCCTCCAGTCCTTTCTGCAGCTTTGAGCAGAAGGAAAGTTTGGCATCATGGATTTTAACTGAGTCCCAACTGTGCTCAGTAAAATCCCCTCCCACCAAAGGATTTTCCTAAGAGGGATGAGAAGAGGTTCAGGTCTGGGATTCTCTCTCTCACCTTATTTAGTCATCTCTGTACATTTATTTTAGAGAGACGCCAGTAAACCCACAGTACAACCCAAGCACAGTATTCACACACACTGTTAGTTCAAACAGCTGCTGCTTATCTCTTATTTAAAGACTGCACAGGTGACATTGAATGAGAAGAATTTCACCTCTTCTTATGCCCACCTTGGGGAAAGGAACAGTGGCCGAACAGTGATCAGAGCTTGTGTTTCCCTCTGTTTTGTGGTTTTGTGTGCAGAACACAACATTGATGATTCTTCAGAACACAATGCAAGAAGTACTGCGTGTAACTTACAGCACCAAGCCCTTCATTTAAGTAAGAACTAGGGATTTTTAGGGTAATAATTCATTATTCATATGGATATTCCCCCTTTTTGAGGCTCTGGGATTATGGAGAATGATTTCTACATTAGAATATTTTGTGTGTTTATCTTTCAGCTTKGAGTTCCCTTGTGAGAGGGAGAGCTCAGATGCCTTTCAGAGCATCCCTCCTCATTAGCCSGTGAGCCAAGACATGTGACTTTAAACTCTAAAGCAGAAATAAAATGAAGAAACCTAATGAGTGTCTCCAGGTTTTTTAAGGTTAGCAAGAGCACGAGTGCCTGGGCTCTGAGGGGTATAAGTGAACCTATTAGAGGCAATAAATCAGTTCCTTGTAGCTGCAGTGCCCCTTGGCACAGATCAAGGCAGGAGGTGATCCCTGACCTGACCTGGAGCGCTCCCAGCTCTGGCTGTGCAGGGCCAGGAGCCTCTGCTTTGCTCTCTTCACTGTTTGCTGTGTGTCTTGTCTGAACTTTAGCTGGGCACAGTCTGCCCTCATTAAATTCGTRCATTGCCCCCTCAGTGCCCTTTGTGAGTGGAACTTCTCTCAGGTGCCAGGGTGCAGCCATGACCGATGTGTGAATTATTCCTATGAGCTCCTTAYTTAACAGAAAACCCAAAATTATTGCAGAGATGTCAAAATAAATCACATTGCAATTCACCTCTGCTCCAGCGTGCCCCAAGACATGTATGAGAATGGTTGCTGTTGCTCAGCAGCCCAAACCCCAAAATGATTATTCTGTGTGAGAATATTGTCAATTAACAAATATTCCTAAAAAGAGGACACCCCTGTGTTAACTGTATATGTKGGAACTGGCGGGTGATTTCCCATCAGAATCCATTTTCAGAAAAATATGTGATTACAACAAAATAAGTAGGAAAGAGAGACACTTTTCCAATTTTTTTTTTCTTTTTCCTAGATCAGCTCAGTATTTATTCTGCTTTTGTGAGCTTTGGCTGCCTGAATTCCTTCTACAAGGAATTCCCTCAGCCTCTGCAAACACCATTTATTGTGCAACTTAAGTGAAATGGATACACGATCAAAAAATGAAACAAACTGCAGTTTGATCTTTCTTCTGCAAAATTAATATTAATAACTATGGAAAATATTTTTGAAATACTTCTTTGACTCTCCYCCTTAAGTCTTAACTAAATTTGTCTTGAAGAGTAAGAGAAAGAGTAAGAGCAGTGCTTACTCATAGTCTTCATGCAATCRCTATTACTCAAGAAATTTTCAGGTTGAATTTTCCCATTGAGTGAATTTTCCACGTAGGAAAGCATTTTCTTTGAAAAGGCAGCTGAGAAGCATTCCACAGGAGGTTTGCATCAGTATTAGCAGCAGAAAAGCATGAAGCAGAAAGGTGTTGCCCATCCCTTGAACCATTTCGTTCAGGCTTTTCCT